TCAGAATGGATCAGTTAAAATTAGCGTGTAATTAAAGCCCTGCACATTGTCATTCATCGTTCCATCGAGAAATCCAAAAAATAAGCTTCATCTAAAAAAGAACATTCTACATATTAGGGCCTTTTAGTTATTGAGCAAACCATTCCTGGCCGTTTTCTGTTGCTGTATGCTTAATTAAAAAATTCTCCAGTAATCCATTATTTGCATTAATTGATCAACGATTAGCATTAAAGCTGCGAGGATTTTAAATAGTTACAGTCCATGACAAGAAATCTCGCAACCAGTTGCATTCTGCATTGAACTAAATCGCTAATCTCCTTGATTTTCCTATTAAAATATGAAATTTTGGCAATAAAAATCTTATTGACTTTTTCGCATAATATGAGCAATATGTTTTGGTGGCATTTTTTGTTGCACAAAATCGTATTTTGGTTCCCGCGCAATTGCAAAACATATCTTAAAAAGTAGGCATTTCAAATTCCTTCTAATAACTTTTGAACAATTTTAGATCCTTGTGCTAATAAGCTAAATCCGATTTTCAGCATTGACTAATTAGTGATCTTATTAATATTACATGTTCTTACCCTTGTTAAGAGCAGTTTTTTAGTCGGTAAACTTTGTCCTCACTCCTTCGAAAATATATACATATAAAAATTTCCATATTCATTAAATACAGAAATGATGCTGCAATTATGAAATCTATGACACATTAATGCAAGAAAACCCAGTTACGCAAAAATGAGGAATTCACATTTAATGAAATTTTCCTGATGTCTAATTTACAAACACTTTGGATAATTACGACTGTTCAATTATGGGGAAAGTGGGGCAGCTCTTTAATTTCAGTTTGTTTAGTGGCTGAAGAGGATTCCAAAAATATGGAAAACTCATCAGTTCATTAAGACCAGTTGTTGTGAATTACACAACAATCACATTTTCGATGCATGCTTTTAGTATTCTAAAAATACAATTAAATGCCAGTACTTAATTAAGTTAAGCCTGTTATAGTAACTGGAGGACTGAACGTCATTTGTTAATTAAATTTCACAGAAGAGCGAAAGCGAACATAATGAAAGACTAATTAATATAATTTGTTAGATTAGAGGAACTTAATACAAATCTCAGAACTAGGGATAAAATATGGATAGACAATTAAGAAAACAACCATAACAACCCAAACTAACCCAAACTGAAGAGAGTACAATCTTCAAAATATGTAATTATAATTTCACGCAAATTTAAAGTATAAAGTGTTTCTAAAATAACTGCTCTTCTTCTTCTTCAACAAGCATGTTAAAAGTAAATTTTGTTTTATAAGTAGGTTTCTACAAAAGGAAACGGCTTTTGAAAGAGAGACAGCGTTAAAATTAATAATTTTGTATTTTATTCCGGAAAAAAATTAAGTACATACGCGAACTGCTGTAACCACAGAAAAAAAATATTCGTAATATTTTACGAGAATTATTACATATTTCGACAGTAATAATAACTACGAAATAGTAAATAAGTTCGGAGAACAAAAGGAAAACCGATCTTAAAGTTTTTCATTCAGCGGTCAGACCTTTTACTTCAGAAATAAAAAAAAATGTATTTTTTTCATAATTTCCGAGTTTTTCCGTACCTCTAACCACTGATGTTTAGAACACATTTATTGTGGTAAGCAAATGTTCCCAAGGTGAATATTTACCAGACATTCAATAAGACAAATTTAAAAATAAAATAAAAATATTAATTTGGATAAGTTTAGTAGCAATTTATGACAAATGCTTTCTATTTTTTAAATAATTCTATTGTAAAAACGGAAAGAAGGATGTTTTCATCGTTTTCAAAAAACAGAAAAATCAGTTTTGATTAAAAAGCTGCACTCGTTATCATTTTCTAATAGAAGGGGTGAAACAATTCTCTTGCTCAACAACCCTAAATTATTCACAAAATGCCCATTTAAACGGATTTATAGAAAATATATTTAATGTAAAAGTCTAAAAAAAACTGAAATTCAAAAAATTTCTATGCAAATATTTATGCACTCTTGCAAAAAATTCTGATAACCGAAATTATATAAGAAAGCGAACAAAAGTGTTCTCGTACCTGTTAATAGAATTACTTGCGTTCTAAAGAAAATTATATTTTTTTATAATTTTCTTAATGTTTCTGTTGGTTAGTTATTGATCTACAAGTCTTGCTTTTTTCTTCTTTATTTTATAAGGAAAAAAAATATTCTCTGAAATTATAACTCATTCCCGTTTAGATACAGATAACAAATTTCCCATAAAAATAGCGTCTTGACCTGAAAGTCTTCTGATATATAATTTCAATCTGGGGTTATTTGATAAAACTTTTACTTTTTGCTTCAGAAAATTGTTTTATGACAGAAAAAAGTTCATCTGTTCTTCATGCTGCTTAATGAATCATTGTGAAAAAATCCGATAAATTTTTTATAATATACAAAGGTTTTTTGTCGGGGTAGTAAATTTATTCAAAATTTATTGTAACATCTGCAGTTCTGAAAGAAACTTTTTGACGAAACTGTTTATTTTTCTATTGAAGGGTGCTCACAATGTCCTATATTTTCTTCTCTTAGTGTATATTTAACTGACAAATTGCGTAGCGCAAAAAATCTTTGGAATTGTGACAACATTAGCATCTGAAGTAATTATTTGCTTGAAAAAGTGAGTGGCGCGCATTACGAGCGCTAAATGTATCAAACTAATATTGATTTAAATATTAATTAAAATTACACATGTTTATTATTTACACTTATTTTCACATATAAAATAAGCGAATAATTCAAGTAAAGATACGTTTCTCAGCAATATCTAAGCTGACATTTGAAATTTAAATATACAAGAAAAACAACAATACATTTTCGAATCCAACAATTGATTGAAAAATTAAGCTGATTTTTTAATATCGTTGCCAAATTTAAAATTCGATCAGGAAATCGCCCATTGAGCAACCCAAGACATTGAACAAAATTTTTGATAATTGAACAAATTTCACCTAATCAATAACCTTAACAATTACCAGCATGAACGTTATTGGCTTCGATTTAGTGTATGGGCTTTTACCTGAAACGCACAATAATCGCACATACCCCAATGTGAGGAAATAAATCGTAGCGTTTGAACTTTTTTAAAAAGACTCGGACTATTTCTTATTGGAGAGGTCAACCGGAACAGTTTAAAAAATGTAAACAAACGATATAAAAGAAAAAACAGCAGGCTGATTGATTAGTTCTTACGTGAAAATGGACCTAACAAGTTCCACCAAAGTTGTGCTCTTGGCCTTGGTGCTCCATGCTCCATTCTGCCAATCTAATAGTTATAGTGATTTCAACAGTTTTCCGTCCGAGTACGAAGAAGCTTACAACAAATACAAGCAATTTGGCATTCCGGGTGGTTTAGACAATGCAACCGACTATTTGCCCAGTGTTTTCGCCCCGGAACTGCTTGACTACAATCGATTAACCGACCAAATTGACTATGTGATTAGCAGATTTAGAAATTACCGATTACCGGTAAATAATGAGCAGTATTATCAACATAGGCACGCATCAGAGGACCCATGTGAAGGTAAGCCCTTATTGCAGAAAAAGTTTTCAACGATCTCTCGATTTGTATTTATGTCGAAGATACCCATAGTCCAAAAAATTAATTTCAATAAATTGGAAATAATTTGCCAATTTTCATTCATTCATAAAATACGAGAACATTTATGTTTTTGTGCATTTTTTTTCTGTTTCAATTGAAAGTACTCAAGAGTTACTAAAGTAAGCAACTTACACGGTTTACATTTCAGGAAAATTTACCAAACTCTTCAAATCAAAGTGTTAAACTTTATTATATTTAATTGCTTTAAAGTGAGTCTTCCAGTGACTAGCGCTCAACTAGTATGTTGAAATTTCGAAGTTGAACCAATTAATCTGTAAATTGGACTGTAAACAGGACTTATTAAATTGAAGTAAAATTACGAATTTCCCAAGCCCGGATGCGATTTTTTGCAATTCATATTTCGTGTTACAGTTATCTTGGTAAAATCAAATATTGCCTTAGTCGACGAAGGTTGTAAATGCGATTTCTCTATAAATAAAGGAAGCGTTAGATGTGGCGAGTTTCAATTCAACCAGTCGAAAATGATTGACTGGTTTTCGGATATGGAATCAAAAGTTCCATTCTAATATTATTGTTTTAACCTATCCCAATGTAAACTGTGTTAACCGTAAAAATCAGAGCGTAATGGAATTTATCAACATTAACGACATTTTGTCACGTACAATAATTATTGCAATTAAATGCTTTGAATCAAAAACGAATTTCACAGCTGTGGGCAGTTTGTGGTTTGCTGGTTTAAAAAATAACGTGTTCGGTATCCACTTTAGTATGTACATATTCAGCCGTTTTGCCAGCATAAGTAATAATGAACTTTTTTCGTAAAAAAATGCAAATTGAGGTGAAACTAATTGAGACGTCAACATTTGCTCCATGAATTTGTTTGTTAAACTAGTAAGAAGACAATGGAAATTATCAATAAACTCGTGTCTAACGAGCCAAAACAATGAGACATTCTTTCACTCACTTACTCTAAGGGTAATTACAATATTTTGCAATGTCAAACATTACATGCTTGATTAGAAAAAAGTGTACCAGGAAATATCTATGAATTAATTAATGATAATGACTGAACAGTATCTGAAAAAACGTGCAACTAATTCGATTTTTATTGGAATTGAATATTTGTTGATCCGTGAGGTAAATCCTTTTACTGGACTGTCGACTGAATAACAATAAAAAGAAAACGTTGTCGTTACCCTTACAGCGTCATAACAATTATTGGATAGATATCTATTTCCCAGCCGGATATCTGTACATTAATGACGACAGATTGATTCATATTAATTGATTCGTTGGTTTTTTTTCATGATTAGCACATGGAGAATACGATTTTATTATTGCTGGAACGGGCACAGCAGGTGGAGTTTTGGCCAACAGACTTACAGAGGAAAACTTCAAGGTATTAGCTTTGGAAGCTGGTGAAGAATCTCCAACTCTATCCAACATGTTGGGAATCAGTGTTTACCTGCATCATTCGGGACTGAATTGGGGATATAATACCACCAAACAAAGATTCGGTTGCTTGGGTAAGAACCTTTTCAAGAATTGAACACTCATCTTCTTGGGAAATACCGCAAATAATTGCCGATATTAGGAAACGCCACAAATAAAAATGCTTTATACATTTCAAATTGCTGCACTTATTGGCGATATTGTTAACACATATTGCGGTCGGTTGACTCGAATTGAATATTTAATTGGACATTTACTAATTATGCTTTATTTCGTATGAAGTAATTATTTAAACAAACAGCTTGGTTATTGTTACAGTCTCCCGTTTAACCTTGCAAGTTAACAGAGCCAAATATGGCTGTATATAAATTAGATTGAGAAAGGATAATTTATTAAAATGGACCAAAAAACCCTTCAATTCACGTTGATATTTTAAACTGAATTAGTTATTGATTGTTAATAAATTAGATTAATGTGGAATCTTAACTTAGAATTTGATAGGCGGAAGCTGCATTGGAGCAAGTGGAACTAAATACCATTTAAAATCAATCATTGCAATTGGGCTTGAATAGATTGAGGAAACATTAAATAATTTTAATTATAAGACATTCTAAAGCCGAAGGAAACAAAAGGGCACATTTATTTTAAGCAATTCAATATTTCAGTGCATCTATTCCCTCCATTCAGTGTTCTTAAGCGAAATCCGTTTGTTGTTTGCACAAGTCAGTTTGCCATAAACAAATAAATATCTATGAAAATGTATAAATAATATCAAGGGCAAAAAGTTTTTAAAATTACAATAGGTACGAAAAAAATAACAGAGAAACATATTTTACCAGCAAAGTGTGACCAAACCAAATCTTGGCTAATACAAAAAAATATATTTTTTTGAAGCTGTAAATAGGAAAATGTGTAAAACTAATACAATCGATTGAGAATCGAACCAAAGTGATATTCACTTAGAAGTCAAAGTTTCCTGAATAGATTAGCGGTACGGGCACAAAAAAATGTCCATGTCGTCAAGGTTCAACTAGACTCTTGGTATAACAAAACAGTACAATCGCTTGCAAAACATTAGCATTCCAATGAAAAGCGTTGATTTCTTTGGTAGCTTTCTTTGCGCCGATTTATCGTACTTTTTACTATTATAATTATTATTTCTACTTGAGATTTATAATTAAACTTTTTAGAGAATTAGTAAAATTTTGCGATAATACGTGTTTGTATATGTAAATTTAACCAATCAAACTGGTTTTTTTGCAAAAGCAAAGTTTTCAAGAAACTGGACTAATTTTTATATTCTTGCAGTGGCGTAAAAACAAAAAGCTTTTTGGATTCGTTGTGAAGTATTTTTGCGTCTTCCAAAGATAAAAAAACATTCATTCTTAGATTTTTGCACCAAGACTATTTTTAATTCGCCTTTGAAGGCCTATATGGATGGTATTTCCCAAGTCATTAGGAAGCTGCTATAAACGGCCCGGTAAAATGAACCACACACATTGAAATTCCGGTTTCCATTCTATAATCGATAGATGTTTAATGTAGATTGACATTTTAATTAGTAGAAATCCACAATAATGCAAGAACTAATTTATGAATTTTCAATAAGCCGAAACCGATAATGTTTCTGCTTCTTTGGTTAGTTGAGGCCGTTTCGTCCACAATCAGGTCATACCAACTGTATGTTTACCTAATAAAAATCAATTTATTCAATGAATGATTGTGTCATGACTTTTTCACTTGGATAATAATTGATTTTCAAGCGCTTTAACCTGCATTAATCCGTTTTATGAGCGCAATAAAATCCGAAAAAAAGAGCTAATTATAATTATTGACTATGAGCGTTAGGCAAAAATGTTGCTGTTTTTAGGATCTCGAGGACATAGGTGTTTCTACCCCAGAGGACACGTGCTAGGAGGCAGCAGTGTTATCAATTTTGGAATGTACGTTCGTGGACATCGCATTGATTTCGATAAATGGGAAGAGCTTGGCAATCCTGGATGGGGTTACGACGAAATTTTGCCTTATTTCCGTAAACCCGAACACGCCACTTTTACTGAGAACATTGATCCTGCTTACCATGGTTTCGATGGGCCTCAAAGAATTGGTGTTCCTGAGGATATTCCTTTCATGGTAAGAAAGTCTTATCTTCCGAAATAATTTAGTTATTTCCTTTATGAAAGCAAAATATACAAAGCAAGATTACAAATTTTAAGGTAACTGAGGAGTTGAGCCAGCGTCAGTCACAAATAAGTTAGAAGAACAGATTTAAAGCTGTTCCTCGCAATTGTTAAATTTCGGTTAATAATCATCTTCTTCATATCTCTTAAATTCAACAAAATTGGCATGGAAGTGCTTCTAATAGTCGTTCTGTATTAAGTCGCAAAAACAATGTTAATGCGGGCTCATATTCAAAGCGTCTCTTTTGTGTAATTGCAGTCGCGTTCGGACAAATTTCAATTCAAAATAGATGTTTAGTTCCTTCTCCATAACAAATCGCATTCAAAATTGCAAGGATCGAGATTCAGATTACTGACTAACGTTTGCGTTTCTACTCTGCAGTAGATTTTGATCAATGATCAATTAAATCAAAATTGGGTTTGTTTCAAAGGCAATTATTGAAGGTCTCCTGGAACGGAAGATATTCGATTGTCCAACTTCAACTCTGTTATCAACCATTATTTCAAAATGACCCAATTTTCGATTAACTATTTTTAAATACAGACAATCGCTCCAATAATAAAATTATTAGATCAAGTTTTGCTTAAATGTACTTTTAAAATTTCCTTATAAAAAATTAAAATGTCTATATATTTTTAATAAAACGTAAGAACGGCAATAGAGTTTCCATCCGAAAAAAGTTGGCAATGACAATATTTTCAGGCAAGTGCTAGAAGGTGTTTCAAACTACAATTTATTAATTATAAAAGTTATTTCAACTTTCTATCGGCAGGCAACAAACATTTTCTTTTTGATACAGAAACGATTTCCTGTTTGACGAGCAGTTTCCAAAAAAACGAACGAAATTTATTTTTTTCGAGCCATTCAATTGCCGAAATGAAAAGAAGACAAATAATTTATTAATGATGTAATCAGCGCAAGCGTATTTACGTAAAAAATACAAAAAGCAGAAAGTTTAATTTAGTTGATAATATTGGTTATTTAATAATAAAAATACATCTTTAATTAAACTAATGATTAATGAATCTCTATAAATACACTACTAAATGGTTTCAAAATGGTTTGTTTAAAATAGTGGTGAAGTAATAAGTTTATAACTAATAAACCACAGAAAACTGAAATAAAAATGTTAATAAGCTTTTCAGAAAATAATTTAATAACGTTTGGAAAACCCTGCCAACCTCAACCAATTACTTACTTACTTACAAGTTACAATATTATTTTCTTCTGCGTAAATTTTCTTATTATTTCTGAAATGTAGTCTCCGACCCATATATTTCATTTAGAAATCCCAATAGAAAGGGGATTTATTTATGATCTACGTAATTTGCGTAATTTTACCCAGCCACACCATATAAAATTTCATTAAAAACAGTGCTATAATAAAGTCTAATACGCAGTCTAAAAAGATGTGAAAACTGAAACAATTCTAAATAATCACTCGTTTAGCAAACACCAGGCTGTTTAAAGGCGAATTAAATACGTGAATAAGGTTTTGAGAAACATTTCCATTGCATTTATACATTTTATTTGATATTTTAGAGTGAGGTAATCCTGCAAATTAGATAATTTGGTCTAAAATCGAGATTGATTTGTAAGTTACCGGGAAATTTAGAGATGTTTAATATACATAGTAATTCAAAGGTTTTATGCCCGAATGTAATTCACGATTATATCAATTTTTCCGCACAAAAGTGCACCTTCGCTAAACTAAAAGCATGAAAAGTTGACCAAAACGACTGATTGCTTTCAAATCATTCTGCATTAAATTTGAGAAATTTATTTGTTTTCTTTTTCTCAGAAACGGTAATATTGAAAAATTCATGTAAAAAATGAAGTTTTCTTCTGTGTAACTAATGGTTTAGAAAAAGTCTTCCATCTTAAAGATCGATCGAATTCAATCAAAGGAAGGAATGCACTGGATTTTCGTAAAAAGAGCGATATGTTACACAAAAATTTGCATTTTTTACTGCATATTGTATCAAAATTTAATTAAATCTAAAATAAAATAAAACTTAATCATTTTTATCGAAAGTACTAGTTATTTTATTAATTAATGAATTGGTGTCGCCATATGCTAGTGTCCATTCTCATTATTTTTTGCAAACCGTAATTGGAATGGAATGATTTACATTTCAAGAATAATAACAATTGCCAATAAAATATCTTTAAATGTACTTGCTAGAAAACTAGGCCGAGCATAAATAATAAATAATATTAAATCTGCATTATGTATGTTGTCGATATATATGAACATGCGGTAATTACATATAATTTTTGACACGATAACATTCTGTTAGTCGAGCTTAAAATTAATTTATAATTTCATTGTCTTCTTTTCATGTGTGTATTTGAAGATCTTGAAAAATGTATAACAATTATCTGTTTTTTTAACTCAACAGTTTCAGCACAGAAATCAAAAAAAGCAGCAGCAAGAAAATTTATATTGGCATTCAATAGAAAGTTGAAACAACTGTAAACCGATGATCGCTCTGAAAATTATTAAATTGTCATTTGCAATATGCGGCTTATTTTTCGGAAAACTTTTGTCACTAAGACTTGCAATGAAAATGAATTTAAAATATTTTTTTTAGTCAGAGGCGATTATTCAAGCACACAAAGAAATTGGGAAGCGTGAACTGGACTATAATGGTGAAGATCAAGATGGAGTGAGCAGACTTCAATTTTTCTTGGATAGAAATGTGCGAGCCAGTACGTACCATGCATTCATAGACCCGGTTAGACATCGCAGGAACCTGAAAATCGGTACAAGATCGTACGTGACCAAAGTGCTAATCGCGGGAAAAAGAGCATACGGCGTCGAGTATGTGAAAGATGGAAAAACCTGCTTCGCCACTGCAAAGAAGGAAGTTATACTGTCGGCCGGTGCAATTAATTCTCCTCAAATCCTCATGCTGTCTGGAATCGGGCCATCTGAAGAACTACTGAGACATGGAATTGAAGTTATCAAGGATTTACCAGTAGGTAGAAATTTACAAGACCACCTGTTCTTCCCAGGAGTCTTTTACAGGTAGGCAAAGAATACAATTTTCTCAATCAAAAGCTTAAGGAATCAATCTTGATTGTTGTAGACAACCACACAAATTTTATGATGAAAGTGTAAGCGATCACGTGAAAGCATGGACGAAGAACCAACGACCTCTAACTCCCAGCCTTGGTCAGACTGCAGTCAGCTTCTTCAATTTCGAAGGACCAGAAAATAGTCAGCCGGAAGTTGAACTTTTCTTTTTCGGACCACCCCTAGTTACTTCAGATTTAGCCTACATTTTTGGGTAAGAACTAATAAAAATTAACGACCAACGTGAAATTTTAAAGGAAAAATTAACAGCAAACTGAAGAAAAAATCTGTAAAAAAGAAAGAAGAATGAATGAATAGAACACTTGATATTGACAAATGATATGATACTGTAAAATGTCCAAAACTAAGCATTGAACGCAAAATCTCTGAAAAACGGCTCTAGTGTGAGTTAGTTTTTCTCGTAGAACAGATTAGGTGCAGCACTTTAATTTCCTTACACCCTTTATACAATTAATAATAAATCAGAAATTGAGATCCTAAACATAATCTATGTGCTGTTGTCTTGAAACAATTAAAATATTTCTATTGGATAAAGGTACCGAGCAATGCAAAAAATCTTGAGAAATGTCAACTAAATTAAATAAGAAAATAGAAAAACTATTTTTGTCTTGTGACACAATAAATCACGGTGTTACGTATCAACTCGAATACGCTAAGATCGAAAGAAATTTTTTCAAATTAAGTCCACAAAACCTTCTCCAATAAATAGAAGGAGTTTTATTCAATCACCGACTTAACATAAAATTTGCACTTTGGGGTGGTTACACACGTTTGACTCTTAGTCCTTTTACTCACAAAACCAACATTTTCAACAATACCCTGAAACAAAGAAGTATTCTTTCTAATATTTCTCTTTCTAGGTTTGATGATAATCACATTGAAGCTTTCCGTACCCTGAATGGTCTCACCGACCTTTGCGTCAACATTGAATTGCTCCATCCTAAATCGAGAGGAACTGTTACCTTGCAGTCGAAAGATCCCAAAGATTTTCCATTAATCGACACTAATTATTTCTCAGACCCCGAGGACAGCGATATTGAAAATATGTACTTGGGTGTGTTGGCTGCACTTGAATTGGGCCATACCGAAGCATTCAAGAAACTGAATCTCGAATTGCTTGTGATTCCTTTTCCTGATTGCGATTATCAATATGAGCAATTGTCAAAGGTTTGGTGGTATTGTGCATTGAGGAGTATTTCTACTACCGTAAGTATATTTGAAAAATACTCGAAGTACACTTTTCCTAAGTGGATTTGTTTAGCTCTTCCATCCGATTGGGACCACATCTATGGGTCCAGATCCTCACACTTCTGTTGTCGATGCTGATTTGAAAGTCCATGGAATTCAGGGATTAAGGGTGGTCGACGCTGGAATTATGCCAGATCATATTTCGGGACATCCAAATGCGGCAGTTGTTATGATTGCCGAAAAAACTGCGGATGCTATTAAGCACGAACATTCAGTCCATTCGTCTTTCCATCATTCTCATGAATTTGATCACGATCACTTCCATTCCCATCCCGAGGCTCATCCTCATGCTCATCCATTCCACGTACATCATTATAAATAAGCAAGGAAATACATAGGCTAAATGTGAGGTGGATATTAAGGCCAGTTCCTATGTAAAGAATTAGATTATGATATACGAATTGTATATACCCTAGCTATTATTAAATGGTTTGAAATACCTCTCACATTTACAAGAAAACAGGGAAATTGACCGCTTTACTATACCTAAACAGAATGCTCTTTTATAAATATCCACGACAACGAACATTAGAAAGCTAAAAATGCCAAATATCAATTTAAGTTTATCAAGTTAGCCCAATTTTTTAAACCATTAGCTACATTTAGAATGTAAGTTAGAAAATGAATTTGAAACTATATTGTTTTACTCTTTCATATATATTTTATAAATAATTAGTTGATTTTTACATTGTAGAATTTTATGTTTATACTGAAATAAAATAAATAATTTATTTTCATAAAAGTGCTTCTTATTTGACCTTCTGATTATTATTAAGCAAGTAATGTAATTGTGTGCGTAATTATAAAAACGGATTAAAACTCAATTTAAATAAAATATAATTTATTTAAAAACAATAATAGCTATAATGTACACATCAAAATATTTTCCTAAAAAATGCAAGTGGTCGTATATGATTGTATGCACAATTCTAAAGACATTTTGTCTACCTGTTTTAAAATCCACTCTATGATTGAGCAGAATTTATCATATCGATAATATTAATAAATTCAATAAAACTAAATCATAAGAGAAGCAAGTAAGCGTAACTCATCACTAGCATAATGTAATGGTAAATCAAATTTACTACATAACAACATAACACATTCTATTATTATTAAATCATCGCAAAGTATTTCCCTCGTGATATTCGATAATTATTGAAAACAAATGGTTTTAGATTATTGTTGCCAATTGCACAGAGTGTAAGTTATCTTAAAGTAATGTAAAAATAAACATAACAAAATATTATTCTGTTCTAAAAATCATCAGACGGGGAATAAATAGATAATATATAAGAGCAAAACAGTAAACATATACAAGAACAAATACCTGAAAACGCCATGAATTATGGCTTTTTCATTATTTTTTGCATATAAATAATAGGCGCGACTAGTTCACCCAGTGTATATTTTTAAATCATACATGTAGGTAGATATTATTTATGAGCCATTCAGACACTAATAAAAACAATAAACATTATGCACATAAAGCAACCCGTTGATTCCACCACACTTTGAGTATTAAAACTGATTGTTAAAATATCAGCTATTATTATGTACATTACAATAATTGGTCAATTGAAAAGAGTTTGTTGCAATATCTGAGCAAAAATACGATCTAGTTGCGGCTTAGAAGTTTCAACTTCCGAATTAAATTAAATATTTCTTAGGAAAAACCGCTACATTTCACAACAATATAATATCTTTGAATAAATCAATATCAATTAGCCGACTTAAGATATCATCAGTAGTAACAATTAATAATATTGTGGGTAATGTAAAGGTGTAAATCATGACGTCAATGGAGGATAAAATTCCACCTATTCATTCAATAAAAAACTAATAACAATGGCTTGCCTTATCTAAGTAAAGTAAATGATTTCGTTAATTACAGGTGAACATTTAGCTAACATTTAGAGCCTGTATGATGCTTGTAAGGCGTTAATTTATAGTTTAAACATATAAAGCTCACTAAATACCTTTCACTATTAGCTCATGCAGTTGAAACTAATTATTTATGGGTTAAGTGACCTTTACATATTCATCTATTTTTAATTATTAATATGAGCAATTTATATCCTGCTTTATATAGGGTGTTTCAGTTTCCATGCTGCTTTTTAGAATGGTTTTTTCATGGTTTAAATGTAGGGTTTTCAATAGAATATAAAGGTGGAGATCAAAAGAAAAAAAATCGATATATCGATCGCTTAAAATATACAAAATAAGCAGAACATTTTAAAACAAGCAACGAAACAATACAGCACTAGCAAGTTATTTGCAGCTCCTAATAATTACTAAAGCATGTTTCATAAATATAGGAGCTTGGAAACGTTCTTACTACTAATAAAGAAAAGCAAACGAAACTTAACGAAAAATAGTTTATATGTCGTCTGAAATATGGCACATAGGAAAACAAACGAAAAACTAGGACAAAAGTTAATTTACCTGATAGTCCTGTATTCAAACGGATTAGAGAAAAACAAACTGCAAAATAGACAAAATGGGTAATATAATACAAATAAAAAACAGGTAATAATATAAAATTAATTACGAAAAAATTGGATTTTTTCAGATAGAAGATAGAAAATTGTTAAGACGCTTTTTTCAACTGTACAACTAGTGTATACACTATTATGTTGAAAAAGTACAAGATTCCTGGTATTCAACACAAAAGAGAACAATTGAAACATAGAAGTAGCAAATAAGAATGTTGGTCGATTTTCTCCTCAAATTATTCTACGTATTATTCTTTAATGGGTAAAAAGTCAAGGATAAACACCTCACACTCGCTCATGAGAAATATCCTCCTGACTAGAAGCCAGAAATTATTTAAATAAAATTAAATACTTAGAAGATATGGTGGTCTAACTGTGGCTGTTGAATGCTAACAATAAATGGCATTTAATGGCAAACTCAAGAGAAAGTAAACGTACGTAAAGAAATCATATTGTTGTGAAACGATGACAAATTAAAATGCCTAGATATGCATGTTGATGAACTGGTTGAACTTGATTGCTAATTATCACATTTTGCATTACAAATCAATGTTCTCTTGCCTTCTAACCAGTTTAATTGAGTTCTAGTAGTTAATGGCAAAGAGCTCAAGCAACCATATGTATTTAAACATAAAAACAGGCAGTCTTAAATGAAATAGTATTAGGTACCTAATTACCCAGAACTCAGTAGTGTTATGTTAATTAATTAGGTATACATGTATTCATGGTTGATTGAACTCAATAGTATACCAACTATAATACCTCAACAGCTGGAAGTATTGAGTTTGACTATCTCCAGCCTCAATGGCACATGGTTTTACTTATTTTAAATGGTACCTGAGTTATTGTGTATTCAATCCAATGTATTGAGCTGACCTACGTAATTTATTTATGAACTCTCGCGCCTTACTATAACTAGCCATTGCCCTCAATTTATTCCTTTAGGTCTGCAAGCTCACGCAGTTTCAACAGCAACTTTTGTTGCCTTTTCCTTTGACCCATAGGTACAGTCGAGAAATCTAGAAAGTTGGACTAGTTGTGCTCCCTCATTTGTAAAATGGCAAGCAAATAAAAGCATGTTACGAGGCTGTACCTTCCAGGCAAATCTCATAAACATTGCCGAATATAAACATAAGGCTAGAAAAAATGAGCGTTATATAATGTATGTAAAAAAGCGAAATTATGGATATTTGAATCAAAGAAAAATTAGAACCCTTACCTAATGTCATTTTGCCACTTATGAATTTAGGATCTTTTTTAAAATCAGCTAGAGCTGCCAAGGGTATTCCCCAATTAGCAATAGGGCCCCAAAAGTGGGTGCTAAAATAATGTACGTCCTTGAATATGTAGTGTTTGCATATACTGGTAAAACTTGCCTCATCAAATAGTTCCTGAATTCCTTGGATTTCAACTGTTCCACTAGTTTTTTGCCTAAATTATTCACTTTGGCACTCATTTTTCCTGTTTAATAGTAACTAATAAATAATGGAACACAACTGGTTGAACTTGCAATTTGCAGTGAATGACAAAACAAGGTTAGATTTCTAACAGAACGTCCGTTGAATGTTATTTAATCAGTTTTGAATTCGTTTTTAGATAAACCATAAGTTCAAGCACGTGTCTATCTCATTTACATAATTTTATTCGAAGTATTAGGTAATATATTTCTCTTTATCATTCATACGTTCGCACAATACGTTTTTTAGTTTT